AATTTTATTTTGGTAAGTTTATAATAAAACACATGTTTTAATTTGTGTTTATTATAAATGGTCTAAGGGAAGTATAAATGATAGTTAAAAGACAGTTGTAAAAGCTTACAACTGCACAATGCATATACTGGGAATGGTTCTAAACTGAAAAACTAAGAATGCAAATTCTTAATTTCTAGGACAGTAGTCAAACAATGCACAGACAGTTCTCAGGCTTCTTCTCCACATCTTTGTTACAGATGAAGACACTGACACATTCTCCCATGGGCCTCCATCTGTCCACTCTTCTTCATCTTCTCATCAGTCTGAGGGCCTGGACTCATATGACCTAGAGCAAGTCAACAACATTTTCAGGAAGTTTTCACTTGAACGGTATAAAGGCATCACAGATAGTTTGTTCTCATTTACTTATTCATTGTACTAATTTTGTATGTTTTATGTAAACCTTAGAGAATGGTTCCTATTATTACCCTTAATAGAATCTGGCAATTTGGTTCTGTTCCTGCTAGGTCAGTTGTTCAAAAAAGTGCTATATACTTTATCTCTGAAACTTTACATGAAAATCTAACAATAGTAATTAGTATTTATTTATACCATTTTCACTACTGTTGCAGACCTGTAAGAAGCTATTTTCTGCATTTTCATTGTAGTCATAATAAAAAAAAAACATTCCTAATATATTATCAGGAGATAAAAATGTACTTCAATATATGCTTTAATGACAGGATAAATTTTAACAGCAAATATGTATTGATTTTGTCAGTTTTCATGACCAGTCACGGCTGTCTGTTTATTTTCTGTTTGCACATACTGAAAGTAGTTTCAGCTGGGGCTTAAATAAATTCATGTACAATACTATGTCTTTAAAAATATTGGATTCTGTAATGAACTTTATAATTCTTATTTAACAATTCTAACAGAATATGCATTCTTAGCTTCATTTTTTTCTTTTTAAATAAAATGTAGATAAAATCATTTTAAATATGCTTTACATTTAATATGCTATTCTTGTGATATAATCCAGTACCATCTGTATGAGTCATTATCATAATGTGTAGGTGTGAAACTGAGTAAGCTTTCATACATGAAGAACTAGAACAGTCATTTATCTCAACAGATGACAAAAGAAATACAGTCTTTTTAACCTTAAATGAAACTTTTAAAGACATCTACAAATCAACATAATATACTTTGTGAAATGCCATGTTGAATATCATTATTTCTCTAGCTAGGTTGCATTAAAAAGCAGAAGAAATTCTTGTCTAATAACTGTAAAAGTGAAAGCATTTTGAATTGCTGTGCCTGAAATTTGTATTAATTCAACTGTTTTGTCATTCATACTTTGAATAATGGTTTTTGTTATGAAAAGCTGTTTCTTTACAGCTGTCCTGCATTTCTAAAAAATAAATAATTTTTTACCCTGTTTTAAAATTTCACATCAAACCTAAAAGCCTTTTAGCTGTAATTGTCAACTTTTGTGTTCTAATTACATCAACAGAATGGAAGAACACTGTAGTACATGTTTTTAAAGTTCAACTGAGTCATGCACACTTTGAAAGAAAACTCTCCTATCTTTTTTGGAAAGAAGGAATGTATGAGTCAACACTTTATTTCGTGGAGGTCCTTTTAAAACTATTCCTGTCAGAGAATATAAGCTTAAAGGTGTAAACAATTACAACACATTCTAAAGCTTTAAAAAAAAATTTAATATTCATATAAAATTATTTAATTGAAGAATACACAGATTAACAAAAATGTGTATATGGAACAAAGTCAGAATGAGTATAGTAAAACCTTGGTATTCTTGAGTGTTGGGTGTTGAAATGTGGTATAGGGTTCATGAAACAACCATTTACATAGTAATAGTTTTGTTAGAACTGTTATCTATATCAGAAATAGTGTTAGTAGTTATTTGTAGTACTAATAATGAAGGTGAAGTACTGGAAAAAAGCATTGTTTTCCACCTATAATTCAGGTTAATACAAAAAACATTATAAACTACTAACATTAAACTTTTCACTCCATAATCTCCCTCATAAGAAATGCTTTATAATGATTTTCTATCAAATATCTGAAATTGTCAATAATTTAACAAATGTCCATGCAGTCCATACTGTATGCTTAGCAAATCCCTGTTATGTCTCAAAACTCTGAATGGTTTCTTGTTCCAGGCCCTTTAGGCCCTCAGTTACCTCATTCAGCCGTGTCAGCAATACCCTGAGGCCTGTGCAGGATCTTTCTCTTCCTGGGGACTCTCTGTTGTCGGAGATCACTCTAGTTGGAGGAAACGACAGTGGGATTTTTGTCTCCTCTGTCCAGCCAGGCTCCAATGCAGAGATGGCTGGGCTGAGAGAGGGCCATCTTCTCCTGCTGGTAAGTATTACTACAGACCTGTCAGGCTCTTAGGTGTACAGAGGACCGGAATTATCAAACTTATTTTTCCTAACTTTATGTTTTTTTAATTGATGCCATTGGTTACATATAGTGATGATAACTGTGAGTGAAGGTTTGTCTTGATTTACTTAATGATGCTGAATGCAGGTTGTGTTTTGCCTGGGAGAGACTAGAGTATGTGACTTGCATAGAGTTTTATATTTAATTATTGCTCTAATAATGATGCATACACTTTTACTACAGTGCTGTAGTCTTTTGAATTTTTTTAATAATTATCCAAAGTCAAAACGTATTTCTTCTTAATGATCACTGTATATATATATCAGTCTAGGTACAGTAGTTTAATGGTATTAGCTACAAACCTTTGGACTCATTTTGTTTCTTGCAATGTAGCTTGAAGGTTGTATAAGAGGAGAAAACCAGAAGGTCCCTCTTGATGCTTGTACTAAAGAAGAGGCTCGCTGGACACTGCAGAGGTGCAATGGAACAATCAAGCTGCATTTCAGATCCAACTTTGATGGTAAGACGCAGTGTATCTTTATTTGTATTAAGTTGTTTAACAGTTTTGACTAGTTCTTTTGGAAAGCACTATGTATGATTGATGACACAGATATTCTGTGCTACCTGCTTGGATTAAATTCTGGGATGTAATGTTCTATGATACAAAGTCTCTTAAGTACTGCAAAGCAGAGACAGGAATGTAATTTCCAGCAGCAAGATCCAGTTAATTCAACCAAAATAAAATGGCCTAAAACCCAGCCTAAATGCAAAAATAGCACAAAATTAAATTATGTTTCTAATGGTTGAAAGAAACACAATACAAAATGTATTTTTACATTTCACATCTGTTATCAAAAATGTTAATTACTTTACTTACCATTCATACTAATCTCATGATCACAAATGCAAAATGCATAACTATAAAACAAACTCTTTTGACTGTTCTGTACCAATACTTCTGGAGTCCACTGTAGGAGTAAACTAAACTGGTTAAGTACTGTACATCAATTAGTCAATAAAGTTATACTATTACAATAACATGGTTAATATTTGTGTTAAGGCTTTTCTGTTCAATTTCAGTGCCCCTGTTACTGATTTTACTTCAGATGGCCTAAAGCAAACTGTTCTCCTCTCAGCTTACAGGAAGCTGATGAAAGATCTGGAAGATGGGTCCCTGGTATCTGGAGACTCCTTCTACATTCGACTGAACCTGAATATCTCAGGACAGTCTGACAGCTGCTCTATGTGCATGAAGTGCGACGAGATTGTACATGTGCTGGATACCATGTACCAAGACAAGTGTGAATGGCTGTGTGCACGTGTCGACCCCTTTACAGACAAGGATCTGGAGAAAGGCACTATCCCAAGCTTTTCCAGGTAGTGTGTCAAAAGGACCTTTGCTTTCAAATTGATAAGATGCTAAAAAGATCCAGGTGGCTCAACCCGTAGAAGTGTTAGTTTGGTGTGGATCTTGAGTACGTAGTTATGAATAGAACTGCCCATGTGGCAGTGTACATTTGTCCTGATACCACTGAGTGAGTTGGGTTCAAGCAAGCTGAGGTAACCTTGAATTGCCAACAGAATGTAACAGAGCCTCCTGTATGGTAGCCAAGTGTGGGAGGAAATCTCCCACATTAACCCACAATTTAACCTTTGTAGGTAAGCAAGTAGTTTCCTGTTTTTAGAGGAGCGATGACAAGTATTTAATCTTGGTTGATTCCATTTGGCAAGTCTCATTCCACACCTGTCTTCTTTTTACCAGTGAGCAGACATGGAAACAACCAATGCCATTACTCTAATGAGAGCTTCCCTGCTCTTGGCAATCTGAATCATCGATGTCTAGCTGTTCTCTATTCCTAGATGTCTCAATCCTAACCTGAGAGTTTAACCATTTTCCACTACAGTCCGGTCTCTTCCAGAGACTTCCACTGGAGCTCCCTGTGTCTCTCTCAACAAACGCCTTGTCCATAGTGCTTTGGATATTGTTAAAATGCTTTTGTGTTTTGTGTTTATCAGACAGAATAATATTACTATATTGACTTAGTAATTATTTTTCCTTTTAAAAAAACAATATTTTTCCAACAAGCTTTTTTTTCACAGAAAAAAACCTGTATGTGCCAAAATGTTTTTTTAATATCATATTTTTTGTATGACACTAAAAACCATTGAGAAGAATGTTCTATAATGAGGTTTGCTTAATCCTAATTCCTCAGGGCTCAGCAGCTGCTTCTTGTAAAAATTCAGAAGCTAATGTGCAGAGGGAGCAGAGATGAGACAGAAAATCTGCGTACACTCAGGGTAAGTTTGTTAATTTTGCCTAGCTCTTAGCAAGCTGAGAGTTTGACAATAGCCCAATCCTTTGTCAAAGGATCTCAGTAAGGGAATTTCCTGCTGCTATTGGTCAGCCTGACAACAGGGACTTTGTTACAAGCAAATTTAAAGCAATGTTACAAAAATGGAAGAACTCCATGCAATTATCAGAAATCTTTACACCCTGGGTTTTTAATGCAAAGTGGAAAAACATTCACTGTCTTTAGTTCCATCACCATTTAGTCAGTACAGAAATAGATGTAACATGTTAAGTATCCTTAACAGGAACTTAAAAAAGTAAAAAGTCAGTCAGAACTATCAGAAATATTTCTCTTGGTGATTTCTTTCCCTGGTGCCTACATATTAAAGACTTACATTATATGTAAGGGGGCCAGCAGGGGGCGCTCACCCTGCGGTCATGTGGGTCTTAATGCCCCAGTATAGTGACGGGGACACTATACTGTAAACAGGCGCCGTCCTTTAGATGAGATGTAAAACCGAGGTCCGGACTCTCTGTGGTCATTAAAAATCCCAGGGCGTTTCTCGAAAAGAGTAGAGGTGTAACCCCGGCGTCCTGGCCAAATTTCCCCATTGGCCTTTACCAATCATGGCCTCCTAATAATCCCCATCTATGAATTGGCTACATTACTCTGCTCTCCTCCCCACTGATAGCTGATGTGTGGTGAGCGTTCTGGCGGACTATGGCTGCCGTCGCATCATCCAGGTGGATGCTGCACATTGGTGGTGGTGGAGGGGAGTCCCCATTACCTGTAAAGCGCTTTGAGTGGAGTGTCCAGAAGTGTAAGCAATTATTATTATTATTATATGTCCTCATATATACTCTAATAGAGTGGAGAATTTTTTTAAATGCCTCTGCTTTTGTTTCAGAATACGTTGCAGCCAGAGGAGTCTCCACCTCCCCCAGATCCAAAATCCAGCCCACGTCTGTCTAGGGCAAGCTTTTTCATCGGTCAGATCTTACAAGTAAGAGCACCACGTAATCTAGATCTCTGTTTACGAAGCCACAGAATAGATCTTCATAGATTCCTGCTGTCACCTTCTCAAAGTGAAGGTGGGCTGCATTTACTTTAAAACTTCACAGTTGATGCAGGTACCCTTTTGGTTTGGTGGACTGTGTTGAGATGATCTGGTAGTCATAGCTTGTATTTTAATGGACGCTGCCTCATATGCAGTTGTCTGAGTGGTAACTTATGCTGAGCTTTGTTTTGTCCTGAATTTTGGGAAACACAAAATTTAGATTGTTTCTCTTGGAGAAGGGGTTTGGAAGGGTTGCCCTCTTTAATAAAGTATGCTTACAATTTTTAATTACATCTAATTACAATTTCAATTGAATTACAAAAATCTTTCTTCCCTCAGTTTGTAAGCAGGACAGAGAACAAGTATAAGAGGATGAACAGCACAGAGAGAGTGAGGATCGTTAGCGCTGGGACCTCCTCACTTCCACGGCCCAGTTTTGAATCAGTGAAGACAGATGGTAATCTTTCCTTACCTTACACGATCAAAGCGATGAGATATAATTGGGTACCTTGTGAACACTGTCATATTCTTTGTATGAATAATGACACCGAGGTTTCTGTAGAGTAATGTCTTCCTTTATAATAATATGAGAGTCCCAAATCAAAGATATATTACTTAAAATACTTCTTAAAGAATTTAATTAAGGTACAATGACAAATAAAGTTCAAACTAAGGCATGACTGTACCTATTATGCTTCAAAATGGTTATTTCAAAAGTGTTTTAAAATAAAGAGAATGCTATAGAGAGGACTGTTGGACATATAGTATTGATTTCAAGCGCAATGCACCTTTCTCCTGTAATCTAATTTTGAAACATCAATGCCTATTCTTGTGTCTGAATTATAACTGGTAAATAATTTTTCCATAAAACACAGAGACAATCAGATTTTAAAACATTTACACTTTAAGTACTTTCTCCTATATTACTTATTTTTACTGAATGCAAAAAAACAACTTTGGACAGCATTTTCTACCCCTTGTCAAAGACAGATTTGTATCTGAAAACTGCATATCTGAAAAGAGTTTATAATTTGCTGAGATTATTGTTGTAATCTGAGTTTTTAATTTCAATACATTGTTAGCAAAGGTTATTGCCTCATAGACTGCAGCGTGATATTACGTTTTGCAACCTAGAAATGCTTTTCATTTGTTGTGTGTTTTGAACTTTCAGACTTGGACACAGAGAATGACCTGAACAAGAGTTTAAACTTGATTCCATACAGCTTGGTGACTCCGCATCATTGCCAGCGTAAACGACCTGTCCTTTTTGCACCAAACAGTCTGGCCAAGACTATTGTACAGAAGTTCCTCAATTTAGGAGGAGCCATGGAATTCAACATATGCAAGCCAGGTAATAACAAAATAATACATATGCCTAAAAAATACACAAAGGGACTATGAAATGAATAATGTAAGAATGTGCATCAGTACTGTATGTGACAGTCTATTAATCCCAAATATAAAGGATAAAGATTTATGTATGATTATATGATGAGTGTGAAGTTATGTGGTATAAAAGCATTAAAAAATACTGCTGGACCACCCTAATATAGCATAATATGAAATGACATTAAAGCTTCAACCTTAGAACAGCAGTGGAGAAATAATATGAACCAACATGGCTAATTAGGTTTAACATGGTTTAATGTTTAACATTATTTTTTTCCAGGATATGCCTTACATATAGAATGTTATTCAAAAATAGTGGTACTTTAATTTGGATTTGGATTTGGATTTTCATAAACATTCCAAAGGGATAATGTCCTCAAGTATTTTGCAATGATGTTATTGTACTTCTGCTGCTATTGTACAGTCAAGTCTGTCCCTTTACTTTCCTTTTAGATATTCTGACAAAGGAAGAGTTTCTTCAGAAGCAAAAGATAGAGCCTATCATATATTCAAAAGAGAAGCATGCCAATACATATGAATGTATCACAACAGAAAACATTGAAGCTGTTGCTGCCAAGGTATTGCCAAAATCTTTTAACATCAGAGTGATCCAGTGGCCATCAGGAGGGCATTACTGCCTATGTAGCTTCTTTTGGGCCAACAGCTAGTGCTGTACAATAGATAAACAGATTCTTTAAAACTGATTGCTACTGCACCTGTGTCTAACAGCAAGTATCCTCATGTAAATTTGACACTCAATTTAGTCTTTGTGAGGAGATTGTGGTTACCTCAGTTGATTTCGCACTTTTTAAAAAGACCTAAAGAATGGATTTGAATTCTCGTTCCATAGAATAAGCATTGCTTGTTGGAAGCTGAACTCAGCTGCACAAAAGATTTGATCCGAAGGGAAATCTATCCCATCATCATCTACATCAAAGTCTGTGAAAAGAACGTCAAGAAATTCAGGTACTGGTGCTGTTTGAATAATTTCATTTATATGCACAGAAGAAAATTCCATTAACAAAAAACCCAGTTACTATTGTGGTTTATGAATTATACTGTATGCCAGTGCTGCTTGCATAGTCCTGCATCATGTTAATAAAATCTCAGAAGGTTACATTTTCTAAACTGTAGACAAATTGTAAAGCAAAGGTGCATATCATATGTTTTGTAACACATTTCAGGTCCCGCATTCTTTCAGATTTTTCCAGTGAGGTCTTCAATTGTTTACTGTAGATATCCCAAGACATTTGTAATTCTTATTTTTTTAACTAAAAATATATCTGTTAGATTTTCATTTTGGACTTTTTTCTCTTATGAGTCAATTAATCCTTCCTCAAACAGTGTTTAAAAGTGGCTTGTTATAGGAAAAAAGGATAACAGTAAATACAAGCCCAATAGTTAAAGGTCAAAGCTTTGGAAAGTAACAGATTGAAAACTCTCTAGAAGATGCTGTCATTTTGATAAGAGAACATTATAAGCATGAATTGGGTGCATCCCACATTTTTTGATCAAACCAAATGACGCATATATGGGCATTTTTGGGGTTTCATTTTTAAAAAGATGTAGGAAAATCTGTCAAGTTTGAATTGACCATTCCACCCAGGGAAATGTAACTTAAATATCATTCAATCATTTTCTTTCCAGGAGACTGCCATTAAAGCTAGATTCTGAGGACGAGTTTCTGAGAAAGTGTCGCTCAAAGGAAAAGGAACTGGAGTCCCTCCCTTGTCTCTATGCTACAGTGGAAGCTGATTCTTGGAGTGGAGTTGAGGACCTCTTGAAAGTTATCAAGGACAAAATCCTGGATGAACAGAAGAAGACAGTGTGGATTGAACAGGACCTTCTCTAGTTAATGTTCCAGAGTTGCTAAATGAAGCAGTTAATTTCCGAACTTTGTGAATGAAGTGGTGGCACATACTTTAAGGATGGAACAATGCAGTCTTAACTTTTCAGTGCGCCCAGACTGTTGCTGTTTTGACTTCAGTGGAAGTTTGTAAACCATGTACAAAGAAATGTACAGGAAATGACTGCAACCAGAATTTCTGCAGCTGATTAAAAATGTCTGCAGTAGACAGTCTGGCTAAATTTGAAAATGGCTTCGGCAGAAAAAAGAAGAAAGGATATACTTACTAATACCAAGTTGAAAGTTCTCAATTGCAAAACATCAAAGGTCCTAGGAAGAACCTTTAAAGATGTCTAAACTGCACAAGGAAGTTATATTGGGACAGTAACATTTACAACAGAATTTAATGAACTGTGCATTCACATATACATTACTTCCTTGTGTGCACAAACACTGGAAGCTTTTGCACTTTAGCCTTAGATAATAAGGCTAAATAATGAATTCCATCGATACGTCTATACATCTTAGTACTGTACATCTATATAGATGTACATCTATAACAAAGAAAAAGACAAAATATAGAAAATAATAAAAAATACAGAAAATAATATGCAAGATTCTAAAATTGTTATGATTTATAGATAAGTAACATGGGTACCATATTGACAATGGAAATTGTATTGTGCAGGAATAGGAGACTTAGATGCAAAATCATGTTTCCTGCAAATGTTTGAAGACAATGGACATTCAATGTTCCTGCACAAAGAAAGATGCTGTGATATATTTTTTTGTGCACGGCTTAACCAAAATCTGACAAAGAGATTATCTGGATTGCCACACTGTGAGACAATGATTCTACTAATGCTGAACACTTAAATGACAAAACAGTAAACTGTCACTGTCATTTAAAGAACCATATCTATAGTAGTGTGTTATTTTAATTGTTATGTTGTATAAGTTTATATTAATACAAATTAATTATTTATATAGTAAGTTATATATAATTAATTACTATACCATACTTACATACTGTATAAGATATAGAAAAATTGACAAATTGGAACATAACTGCATGAGAGCTGCTCCAGTACTTTTCCTTTTTTTCCAGCAAATTTGTGGCACTTTATTTGTAGACTTTTTGGAATCTGTGTACTGTACTGTAATTTTCACCCCACACACCCAATTTGTATTTCAGAATTATTGTGTGCAGGCTTTGATCAGGGCGTTAATATCACAATACACACAGGGCTTTCCAAAAAAGTAATTAATTAATTGAAAACTGGTAAAAGTAAAAAGATAAATTAGTAAAAATATGAACACCTTCCAGAAATATACTGTACAGTAGTCAATAACTGTGTTCTTATCATAGCTAACACAAACACAAAATGTTGAAAACAAAATGTTTTCTTCAGAAAGTAATTTAGATACATTAGAGACAAAACAAGGTTTTTAATTTAAGATAAGATTGTAGTTTGGTTCTGTTAGACATTGCCACATTACAAAAACTCAAGACATCGCCAGTTCATAAATAACAGTACTTTGGGGTGTTATCGACATGTTATGAAGATGTTTGAATAACAACTGATGTTGCCACAAAGGTATTCAGTAACATCAACAGGTTTTATCTCTAAAAGAATCACGGATAGGCTGGACAGGGGGCAGATTAAATGAAAAGTAGAAATTGGCAGGAGGATTATTAAAATGTGATATTTGTTCAAGCTCTATATTGAAAGTAAAGTTAATTTGTGCCTAAAAGTGAAACTTCATCCTCTTTAGCCTTCAGCCTGTATATCTTTTGTAGAAGTTTTTGACATAAATAGTGGATGAATATTTGAACCCCTTTTGTAGTAGAAGGAAGCCAATTTATGCAGGTCCTTTCCAAAACCACAGAATCATAAATTCTTTCTTTTTTCATTTTTGTCAGTTTTGGGTTTTAGCTTTTTTGCTTTTCTAAACAAAATTCCTCTTGGGTACAGATTATTTCATGATATTTAATGTGAATCAAAATTATCTGACATCATTTTCTATTTACACATACAAAGATTTGGTTTGTAAACTGACAGTATTGTCCAGTCATCTCAAACCATTTTTTATTAGTTTATAGGCCTATATTCTGCAAATACTGTGGATATGATAGACAATGGAAACAGAAGCTTTATTTTAAAAATATTTGATGGCATCTGAATTCCTCTATTTATTGCTGCCAGAACATTTCATTTCTAAAGAATACAGAAAACACTTAAAAGGAAAGATTACACAGCATAGAGGAACTTTACAGTGAGCAACTGCTAATAAGGTCTGCAAAATAATACGTCTAAGGAATGTTTAGAAATAGTACTCCTTTTCTGCTGTTGCAATGCATACAACTTGAAAAAGGTTTCTCATATACAATTGTGACAGCAGGGTTAAAGTATAGTTGAAACCATTTCTGAAATACATTTGCTATGTTTTAGAATGTTCTTCACTGTGTAATTGAAAAGCATTTTGTTTTCATTTTGATTATAGTGTTTTATCTATAGATAGTGTTTTATCTAGATATCTATATATTTTAATAAAATATATTTATAAGACAACAACAGCAAACCTATCTAATCCTTCGTTTTAGAAACTGATATACCTAAAAAAATACTCCTGTTTTTTCATTTTAAACCATATAGCCTTGAAAAAATATTCAGATCTTTCAAAGTTTTCACATTTAGTTCCTTTTAATGTTTGCATTCCTTATGCTTTGAACTAGTAGTTAATATTTGTTATTGTTATAATACTGTACACAACCTACTCCATATATTTAAAGCAAAAAACAAGAAAAAGGTAATAAGAATACATTTGCAAGGCAATGTATATAGCATTGTGTTATTTATTTTTTCAAGGGATTATGCAAAGATATAATCATGTATCAGCCACTCCTCTAACCAAAATCTAACTACTAAATAAACATCACCATGAAATTGCATCACAATGCTGTACAAAATATATGATATTCACAGGACATTGAACTTACACTTTACACAGTTCAAGACAGTTTAAAACATTATAAGAATGTGACATAATAAAGTAATTTTATATCTGCAAATGTCTTGCAGGTATTTTGGTATCTGCAAATTTTGACTTTCATGCAGCGTGACAGAAAAATGAATACATTTAACAATCAAGAACTGTACATTTCAAACATTGTACATCCTAAATTTCATTGCCAGTTGCAAGGAAGCATCCGCATAAATTCTGTTCAGGTTATGTAAAGCGTGCTTCACTGCCACATTGATCATAAAGTGCAGAGCAAACAAGTAGCATCTGATCCCAGCTCCTCTGATGTTATTTATGTCTTTGTCTGTGGCTATAAAGTGTGCACTCTTATCTCTTCAACCCAAGCCACACATTACTGCTTTTTCCTCTTCCAACTTAAGATTCAAATTCACATGAATGAAATGTAACCAGGAAGTGCTAGGAGGACATAAAACTTTCCACCTACTGCCAACCCACTCTTTCACTTGTAAGCATCTGCCCACATACTCTCAGAGCTGTCAATACATTGACACTTGAGGTAGATGGATTACTGTCAATGTACAAAAAATAGAAATAATAATAAAAATAAAAGATCTGGATTGTATGCGTCATCAGCAAACAGTGGAAAAATCAGTTAATCATAACTGTATACCACTGAATATTGTATAAGATGTGGTAGTTTGTTTCTGGTTATCCTTCCAGTGCTACTGTCAATAACAACACTGACAGTAAATTAAATTTCCATTACAATCATTTCAAACAAGAGTTTGAATTCACAAAACCTAAACCGAGAGAGGTCAAAATTATAAAAGCACAGTACACAGTTGAAAGCAATCAACCACTTTTGAGCAGTATTAAACAACAAAAACAACCAAATGATTAGTGAGATTACAATTGTTAGATAATTTTGTTTTGAGAGCTGACAATTTTCTGTGTATGAGCTAAATGATTAGCTTAAATGGTTTACTACTTGCTCTGAAGTCTTCTTTTGCTGGGTACATAAATCAAAAGAAAGCTTTTTTGTCAAAAGAAACAAGTAATTTAAACAAATAAAGAAATTATCTGGAGGAGAAACAAATCTTACATTGAAGAGGCTAAACTGCATAAAAATGCTTTTGCAAAAATGGAAAATATAATTTCAAAAAGCACATTGTTTTTAATTGTGACTTGAAAGTAAAGTCCTTAAAAATCAGATACCCATGCTTCTAATACTTGAGTACTGGTAGGAAGGTTCTGTCTGGATTCTAAATATATATGGAAACTCAATTTGTCATTGCATGCTACTGTGTTAAAAAATGAAACTAAATGCAAACATTTGAAAGTACCAAAATTAATTTCAGACATTGCCTTGCACATGGAATTAAGAAAGATATGTGGTATGGAGAGTAAAAGACTTATAGATTATAGGTACTTTACTGTATACCACAAAATAGAAATAACCTGTGTAAATCTATTTTACATACAGTATATCCTGACTGTATAAGGACATAGCTACAAAATCAGATAAACTCCTATGAAACATTATTTTAAGGCTTTGTTTTACTTTGTCAGTACAATTAATAAATTAAATATTGGAACTAATCTCAAATAGATTTGTTTTGGAATAGTTGGTCACATATAAAGACGAGTAAGCATTAGAAAAAAACGTTTAGTATTATTTATGCCAAATTAACAATAACAGCTTGTACCACTTGTGTACTATAGTCTGTATCTGGAATAGTTCAGTGGGGAAAAAAAAAATCATGGGCTTGTTTTCTCATGACTAGCTACAGTATACTCATCCAGAGTTGCCTACATTACCCCTAACAGTGACTTGACACTGATTGTATCCCTCCCGGACTGGGCAGTATCCCCTAAGTAACATAGAAACTAACATCCCTTTACTCAGTGTTCTTGTATACAGTACATCATTTCAGCAGCAGCTCTTTGTGAGACATTGTGCTAGTTGAGAAATAGAATTCTCCATTAAAAGACCAGGTGGAATATGATCAATCTGAAGTGTCCCAGTTGGTTTTGGCATATGGTTTGTCAATCTGCTTCACTGATATACTGTCTGTTAAAGAATAAGAGCAACAGCTGAAAAAAAAATGCAAAAGGAAAAATCACTCTCAAAATGTATGTTTAACTGACATTAATTATTTTTAAATGAGAAAATGAGAAATGAGCTATAACACTGACCATTCTGACTCCATTCACAGCAACACGTGCTGTAAAGCTCTATTACAGCAATCTTTTGAGCATTGCCAGAACCTATTGGGCCTCTATATTTTAATGAGTAACAACTATGAGAGGGATACTTCAAATTATATTTATACACTATCAGTATTTTTCTGGCTCAAAATTCAAAGACACATAAGGGGGAGAAGATGAAGCATTAATCCAATACACTAAAGCCATCCTACAACCTGTCACTATGTGCTTATATACTCAAAATTAAAGAACATTAGAATAGCAAGCCGTTGTAACAAGACTGCACATTCTTTCAAGCTTAAAAATGAATGAGGACATGGATTTTTGTTGATTTGATTAAAATTTGATTTAATTGAATTCTCACTGCCTCACTTCAAAATATGTGGCAAAAAGAAACAGTATTATACAGTATATAGCAATAAATAAGTTCCTAATAATTTCCCAAACTTTAAAGCCATTAACTTAAGATTCAAATTGGATATGTTTTACTTTTTGGAAAAATATGTGCACAAGAACCATTAACTTAATGTTGCACATAAAATGCACATTTCAAAATACACATTATGTTAACTTCATGCAACACTCAACAATTTCTGCAAATACCCACTGGGTATATTTTGGGGCTTCGTATCACTTTTTATTTTGGTAGAAACACTCAAGATTGTTTGCTGTAGACATAGCTGTAAAAAATGTGCTTCCTTGCAATATTTACTTGTATTCATATACATGTATGCATGCATGTATTCATATATGCATACCTACACAGTTTGTATCAAATGCAAAAGCAAATCTATTAATAAAAAAATTAAAGGTCTTCAAATACACTATGAAACTTGCATTGTTTCTTTTTATCTTTTGATACTTTTCATTGGTGTAAAATTCCACCAAAACATGGGTAAAAGTAAGATCTTTCTCCCATGACCATTAGGTACAAACATATTAAATGACAATATTGCTAATAAAGACTGACAGTTAATCAATGTAAAAAAAATACTTGTTTGGAAAATTGATATTTGTCGCTAGGGTTGCTTGCTGCTAAAAGGGTCCAAAAGCATGCCCAGTGAACTGCAGAATTTGGAAGTGTAAGAATCACATTTTGCTCATGTCTCTCAAGTGGTTGATCCTGACTCTTTTAAAATGGACAAATTTAAAACAGAGACCAACTGAGAAAACCTCACTGGTACAGCATGTGCATGGCTAACCATGAGTGAGAATAAAAAAAGCATGTTTATTTGTGACCAACTAGGGGATATTGTAATCATTTAATAACTCTGGGCCAAATTATTAAATCATTTTCTCTACATGAATGAGAATGATTATTTTCTTAAAACATTAAAAATGGCTGAATCTGGCTAAATGTCTGATTTTCTCTGTTTTGACTGCTGTACATCACAGATCTACTTGTGCAGCATGACTAGAGCAGTTTACACATTATTTTTCTCCACCTTTGCAGAACACTGGAAATTCCTGGATCCAGATTCCACTGAAAACTGCGGCAGAAGAATTAACAGAATGTCATTTTCAATATTTTTCCCAAGTAATTATGGGCCAATTTCCTTCTCTCTCAGGGATGACATTTCATAACAAGGGAGACATCTTGTAATAACCCTAATAGATCCAAAACTATTCACAGTAGGTTTCCAAACTGAAATATAATTTTATTAAAAGAACTTTGTACTGTAAGTCAACACTTTTACGGTAGTATAATCTACCAGACAAAGCAGCTCGTTGGGCCAGAGCTCATCCTGATTTCTGTTGCATTCAGTGGACTAGAGAGCACAAGACTCCTCTCCTGATGGAAAGATACATCACAGTGATTACCCCCAACAATGCTGTTCACACTTAGAAAGCTGGTTGGACTGAACCAAATTGGGTAAAGTACCTCACTCATGGTGCAACAGCATACCTAACAAATGCACTGGCCATTTCATGCAAATATCGCCCGCAAGCAAATGCACTACACCCACTTCTGTCTCCCTATGACACGAGCAGTTGTCTCAGCACCTATCCTTGGTACATAAAAATTTACCAGACCCTTGGAAATCAAAGAGACTTGGAAGTTCTTGCATGACAAGGCATGTTCTCTTTAATGCACAGCAATCTACTTAACAGGCTGAAAACTAGTAAAACCATATTGAGTAATAAAAAGAAAGGGTCAGAATTCTTAGCTAACTCTATAGATTGAATAATTTAAAACAAGGCAAGAATATCACACTACATACTAACAAGGACTGAGCTCCAAGGTAAATTGCTGAGCCACGGGCAAAGGGTCAATGCAGAAGGAAATAAGAAATTATTTGCATTGTTTCATATATTATTATTTTTGCTCTATTATTTTCTTTTCAAATAACCAGCGTTTCTCATATTGAACACAGAACAATAAGAAACAAGTTTGTATTTTATTATTACACAAGAAGAAATGGTGCTAATATAAAATTGTTACTAACATTTCTGTGGAGGAACGATGACAATTTTTGTATGTAGTGCATGGTTATTTAATTCACATATAGAGAACATTCACGACGACGGTTAACTCGTGGTTGCTTCTAACTGAAATTAAAGATAAATTGTTTTTTAAAAGAAATTACAAAATTTAAACTCCGAGTTTTCTTACTCTTTGCATCTGTTACCTATTCAAGATAATAGCCTTGTGGTGTCCATGACTTAACAGAAGTGCGTCAATTCAACGTTAAAGCGGTTAATGTTTTACCGCAGATCACTGCCACAGTAATTCTGTCGTGGGCAGAAGGAAAAGGACCGAACGATAGTCTCACAGTGCCCCCTGTCGCTGGCAATGAATAATGTACTTGTACCTGATAATTTTTGCGAGCCGTCTTCTATCACGTCTTCGGATCCATATGAACCAAAAAATTACCTTTTGATGAAGTTAAGAACAATTAAGGATACGCCTAGCCTGCAAACTGAAAAAAATGAAAAATATAACTAAAATCAACCTGTTGTGGAGTTGATAAAGCGCTCTGCCATTAATAGAAAATCCTTCAGTAACTTAGAATCAACTAAAAAGGTACAGGTTCTTACATTGACATCTGCGTATCCATTTTTGAATGTAATCCTCGTGATTAAATATATCAAGAAGGTAGTGAAGACAGACTGTAAAGGTAATAAACACAACAGGAAATTGTGTGTTATTTATAGTTTTGGGACAAAAGACAATTGGTGAGGAGACGACTATAATGTTGCATAGGTTTAATAATTAAAATATTAAATGAAAACTAACCAACTTTTTTTTAACAACAGACAAGACGTAGGTGACAAAATAGAAGTTAGACACAGTTCCCACAGTCATGAAACCCTGAAGAGACTTTTCAGATGAGGAATTCCGATAAATTGAAACAGTAGAGTTTGTATTAATGTGAAATTCAGTGTTTTCTTGTAGTAATTTGAAAAACGGTAGTTCTCTTTGAAATTTTTGAATTGCTGAATTGCTGTCATTAACTGTATGAACGTGAATTTCTTCTCACAGTTTGAAGCTGTTATACAGATGCATGAATAAAATATTGTATAAATGTCACACTTTTTCGAAACAGCAGGGCGCGCTGTTCTATAAGAAACTATTTCGCAGAAATTACCGTGACTCGTAAAGAAGCACATAGTGAGTTGTCATGTTGTGTACATGTGTGTACGTGCTCACACCTGAAGAAGGCTCCACGGCCACAACGTTGTGTTTTCTTTCTTCTCTATTCAGCATGGAATAAACCTATTACTTGTTCCTTTGCAGCCTACGCATGCTGATGCAGCTACCCACCTGAACTATGTTGTGTACATGTCGTATATGGTGCAGAAAATAAACGCTGACTAGGGAAATGTTTTAAAATTATGCATGGGTCAAAACTGACATTAACAGGGTAATATTTACCCTCGTGACTAATTAAAAATGACTGTTTCGTGCATAAAAGCAAAAAATAATAAATCAGTTTTATTAATAAATCAAAATAATAAATCAGCACTATTTAACTTTTTAAAAAAACATTTGCAGCGGTATATGTAAATTGTCTTCAACATTTTGACAACGCATATATCCTAAATATAACATTTCAAATAGCATTTTCAATGTGAAAATATACAATGAATGCGACAGATATTCAAGATCTTTCAGTGATTTTACTCTTGTCGGCTAGTTCAGATGCATTACTGTTATCTTCTCGCTCAGAGCAGTGCTGGATATGCAGGAGATGTATTTATCATAAAGCTGACATCTATTTTATTAACGTTTCAGGCAAAGATATTTTAAAAAGCATACCACGGTAAATGTTCCTAATTATATAAATGAATCAGAAGATCGACGTCATCTCTAATGAATAGATCCATTTTATAAAAAAGTTTCAAAACTTTTAAAAATACATCTTTTGGATGGTCTCCGACTTAACCGAGAAGAGTTAAACCGAGGACTGTGCATTTTTTAGAACGGTACTATTACACGCCCCCCCATTTAAAAAAATGCCCTCTCCATTTGATAATCACCATAACGCATTGCTTTTCCAGACTATGATATCCTATGGAAAAAATCGACCCCGACCCAAAGAAAATCATATCCCCAAGTTCAATACGATTTCAATCCAATAATGTCCTGACCTCTACGCACCTCCCCCTGCAGCCCTGTAACTCCGCTCCCCCTACTGGCGTTTCCCAGATGTGCGCTTGCAAAACGAGTTCAGATAGGCTGGGATCTTAATGGGCCGACAGCGGAACAAAGTTATCAAACAAAGCGGCGTATTAGTTTCAGAATTCCAGAAGTAAGGGGAGTGTTAGGACCAGCGTCCGAGGACTTCAGGACTGTTAGGTGGTTGACGTTTTCATTTTTGGGCCAGTGAAAGTTGTGTTCTACCTTTTGTGTTTTCTTTTTGACTCAGAGAGTATATGCGTTCTTCTGTAATTTGAGAATATTTTGAGGACGGATTTAACCAGAATAGTATTTGTTTTCCTCCTGGATATTTCGCGATTTTTAAAAATCCTTTCCTAAAACCGAATTGGGGACAGCACTTATTCTGCAACAGATCAAACATGTTCAAGAAACCACCGGGAATACTTTAAATGTTGCAGGTCTCTTCCGTATGTTCATTTTGAGAACATTTTGGGAGTTGATTTTTTTAAGAATAAGAGGATTGGTAGATTTTAAAGAAGTCGACACAACAAAGCTGTTTACCGTGTATCTGAATTTGTGAATTAATGCTCCAAGGGCAATTTCCTACAAACAAATGCAAAGGGTTTTGAAATTAAGAACATAAAGCTGTCTATATTTCGCAACGATGTCTGGCGTGGTGCGCACCCTAAGCCGGTGTTTGCTCCCAGCCGAAGCCAGTCGGGAGCGAAGCAATAGCAAAGAGAGGAGACGGGATCGGGACTTGAGCCAGGAGCGAGAAGATCGTCGCCGCAGTCGGGAAATTGATTCCATGTTAGCCCGAGAGAGACGCTCCATCCGCCGCTTGGTTAAAATTTTGCTGCTTGGAGCTGGAGAGAGTGGCAAGTCGACTTTCTTAAAGCAAATGAGGATTATTCATGGCAAAGAATTTGACCAGAAAGCACTACTGGATTTTCGAGATACTATATTTGAGAACATTATCAAGGTAATGGCAATCAAGACCTACAGTAGATAAATAATTGTATACGGTAATCTAAAAAACCCCAACGAAATGCGTTTTACATATAGGTTACTCTTGTTTTCAGATTTTGTAAAGAACTATTAAACTACATTTCCTTGAGAGTTTGTTGTTGGTGTTCCAAAATTCTAATGTTATTTTATTAGAAAGGACATATTCCAGCACAGTTACCATATATAGAATTTAAAGTGCATATTGTTAATTTACAAACTGGCAGTTTTATCGTCTTTCTTAATGTCCACTCATCTCGAATTTGCGTTTACGCAATGTGCACAGGTCTTTCTTGACGAGTTTACGCAAACCGCGCAGCTGAACCTCCCAAAAAGGGTGACTGGTGTCTTGGGACTAAGTCAGGAAACACTTTAATCAGTGATTTTACAGTACCTATCCAGACCTGTAATTAATGTAGCAAACGGACAGTTTCACTTTCAGGCGTTTCCCAACAAAAAGTAATTTATGGCAAGGAACAGTTTGCCGTTTGATATCTGGTAAAAGTAAAAAGTTGATGTTGAAGCTTTTCAAATTTACTTTAAAAAGATAAGAACTTTACAATCGTGAGTCGAGTCAGTTCATGAAGAATTGCCCCATGTTTTGAGTATCATTTATACTTGGCACAGTTAAACCCTTGGGCAACTCTTCATGTGGTTTGTTTTTTTCAAGAGAGCAAGCGTTACATTGTATTTAGGAATAAAAACTCCAGAGTAAGCGGTTTAACTTGCACTTGATTCTTGGGGTCTTGCACTGCTTCAGGCTGGCATGTGAATTTTGCATCTCTAGGTAGAGTCTTCAGTAACCGCTTGACCCTGAAATATGTTGTGCTGAAGTCTTTGTGATGCTTGTTTTGTTGTATTGTTGTGTTGGTCTCTGCCACAAAACAGTTTTGCCCCAGGGGATAATAAAACTTTAATTGAATTGATTCTTAGAGGATCAAGGTGTGCCTGAGCGGAATCTAACAAGGACAGGGTGCAAAATGGGACTACCTTCTGAATGGTGGGAGAGCATCTATCCAACCATCCTTCCATTTTATATCCACTTCTTTCAATTCAGGGTTAAAGTACACCTAAGAGTATCACAGGTCTTAAGCGTGAAGATCAATGTTCAAGGTATTCACCATCCTTTTATTGCAGATGTGTACTGTAAATTGCTGGATGCTCTATCAAAATAATTGATTAAATCAAAGCTGTTGTAAACATGAAATTCAGAACTAAATGTAAAGTAGCATCCTATGAACACTTGAGAAAGATTAATTTTATGCATAATTAGACTAGATCAGTGAGCCCTAGGTGGAAACCTTGGTGGGAACTATGTCTGTTGGTTTTTGTCCCTGCTGAGTTCTTAATCACTAATGCTGTCTAATTAATTGGTCTGCTTTTTTTGTTTGAACTGTTTGTAAATTTTGCATCTTTCATTTATTGCAATCTCCTCAACCTAGACTAGGGGCTTGTGCCCTCATTTCTGTCTAAGCAGCTGTTAATGGGTAATCAGTTTGCGATGAGCACAGATGGGTGTGAATGACAGTGTATCAAGTATTCCCCACAACAAGCTTTGTTTTTAACATATGAGATGACACATCTAAATGTGAGGATTTACATCCATTTTCAAACCTAGGTGTCTCCTAGGACCAGTGTTGGGGACCACTGGACTAGGTTATGGAGTTAAGTGAGGTGCTGTTTTGGGGGGCTGACATCTTGGTGAATACAGGTAGGTGGGAAAGTCTGTAGTTTCATAGAGCTGAAGAGTAATCAAATGTCATGTAGGTGTGATATTGAATGGTTTGCTGTAAAAGCTGTATGACATATTGTGGCAGCTTTTTTGAACTTTTAAAAGTACAGTTACAATTGTGAGAAACAACTTAAATCACCTTTTATTCAGTGATGCTTGTACTCGTTTAAAGGGAAACTTCAACGCTGTTTTTATATTTCTGAGTTAGAACGAATTGGCATTGATGAGTGCATTTCAAACCATAATGCCACAGAGTGACAAGTAAAACATCCAGTTATATCACAAAATAGACAAGTTTCAGGTATGTACAGCACCATATTCTGCAATTTGGAATTAGGCAACAGAACTTAAGATGATGAGAAATCGCCTTATTACGTTATAAACAAGCAGATCTGTTAATTCATCTCTTTTAATCCAATATAAATGTTGCTCTTGATTTTTAGATGGTTCTGCAGACATATACTACTTGTTTGAACATTTCTGCGAAATGTCGGGCGCACAACCTGTACTTATTCGGTCGTACGTCACATTACGTTAGACAGTACAGTGACTAGTGAGCAGGAAAGGCTACTTCATATTCCATTTTGCGCAAACTCTCATTCTTGTCAATGGTGAGACCAGGATTTTCAGCAACATGGTGACTATTCAGGACTTTTACAAAGCTCACGATTTTGTGCTTAATTGAGAATTTGTAAAATGTTGCAATTCTGTCAATGCATTTATTCTGTGATGGAAATTTAATAACCAGTCTGAGAAATTGGGATAGCAGGTCCCCTTTAAGGGTTAGCCACACTCACACACCTGTCTTATGGTAGCTTTTTAAATTGTTCTTTATGAAGTTTAAACAATATTGATTTAACAAGGATGTTTACCAGGAAGCATGCATCTGTAAATATAGAATTTATGTAGTTCATGCCTGTCTCCTTTTCTGTTCAAATAAATGTGCAAGCAGTGAATTCTAAATACAGTATACGTATTTTACAAAAAGTTCAAACATCTCAGTGTAGACTCTAATAATAGCTAAAATTGGTTTACTTGAGGAAAAAAATGATTTAATCTAAGCCAGTACAACTGCACTGCTATATCTTTACCTTCATAATAAGCAGTTGCTCTAGCCTCAGTACATTTTGCCCTCGGCTCTGGTAACCATTTTAAAATCAGTCTTATTTTCTATTGCAGAGCTATAATTTTAAACGGCAGTAAAAGGCTAAAGATGAAAGTTTGAACAGCTCACTTTTAGCAGCTTGCAGCTAACCACCTTGGCTTTTTTGGAGTAATCATCAAAGGACAATTTATGTCCACCACTGTTTATAAGAGTAGAGAGAGATCAGATGGAGTTACGTAGTGTTCACAGATCTCTATCAGCAGTTATTGCAGAATTAATTATTTTGAGCAGATAATATGTGGTAAAAAAATGACAAATAAACATCTGAGGTAGTACATTTCTGACTATTGTCACTGCATTTTAGCAGCCAACAAATTCTGCAGACATAATCATGATGAATTGTTTTTGACTGAATATGTCATCTCACATTGAATAATCTGCTTATGTTGCAGTATGAGAGTTGTTAAGTCAAGGAATATGGTGGAATAATGTTGTTGATCTAGCCATGTCATAATGAATATAATTTTGTCTATCAATCTTGCCCCCTTCTCTGCACATTGTTTTATTTTGGATCTGCCTTGTGCTGTAATTTTTACCTGTGCTTGCCTTAAATCACAGTGCACCAAAATCATACCAGTCTTCTAACCTGGTTGCTGTGGTTATGTTGTGGTTATGTAATGTTTATATACTTATACCATAGGATTTGTTCTTGGAGTAAATTATATAGCTTGTATATATGCACAAATATAACTTTTGTGCTGTTGTCCTAAATAGCTGCTCATTTGTAGTAATGCACACTAATATTTAATTCCTTTCACAAATATTACAACATATGCAATCATTTTCAATATGCAACATTAATAGAAAAATATTTACAACCATCTGAATAAAGCTCTATTGTGCAAAACCAATTAATATTAGTTAACAGGAACTCTGAATTCAATGGCTTTTGCTTTAGGAAATAATCTCCCACAACACCCTTATGTAGTTGTCAGAAATGGAAATGTTCTGTACTCCCATTATTTTAGTGGAAAGCAAGCTATTATTGAACTAATAATTTTTTTATGACAATATAAAGAATAAAAATTGTTTTGCCGGGCAATTAGATTCTATGTCACAAGATAATTGCTGATTAATTAAAGGTATGGGAACTTAATTTCTAATCAGGCTGTTAAAAACTTATACTTTAATGTTCTATTTTTTTCTCTAACCCAATAATCTTGCTGTTCAAACATGGATTTGTGAGGCACAAGACTGCTTTAGGTCCTGGGCATGAAGTAGATCAGTAGCAGTTGGGGATCCTTTTATTGATGCATGGTTTCTGCAAGTTGGAACAGAACAAGTGTTAACTTGCTTCAGGGTTTCATATTTTCACAATGACAGAATAACTTTCTTAAATCTGTTTGCTGGGATTATATGTGCATGTAAATTGGAAAGTTTTTTTGAATACAGTCTCATCTTTTTTTAAAGAAGGAAAAGAAAGAAGGACAAAATTATGAGCAAAAGAATAGCAACGTCACCTCCAGAGCTTACCTGTCATAACCATAATCAACTTGTACATCAAATGTGCAGCTCTCTATGTGAGAATGTTGCTGTCTTCTGTGCTCAGCGTTATTGTAAAGATGCAATGCCTCTTAGGATCAGGGAATGGTAGAGTTTTAGCTGCACGTTTCTTTCCCCTCCCAGCTCCAGCTCCCAATTCCAACAGCATTTTCCAACAGAAAGATGAGTATCTAAATTAGTGGTTCTTAACCTGAGATGTATATACTCCCTGGAAGTGCGAAATACCCTTTTTGGGGGTGAGAGACATGCCAGATTTTTTTAGAAGATTAATCATCAAAAACATAATAAATACAGGCACTTTAGTACAACTATTTTGTTTAATCAAATCTGGGTTTGAGATTTTAAGATAACACACGAAGAATTAAATTAAGTTTTTTAATTTTACTGTGAAATTAATGTGTATTATTCTATCTCTTTCATTCTCTAGAGATAGAATGTGATAGATTCTGTTGTGATATATTTTAGGTTTAAAGAATTGACCTACTTCAATGATTTTTGATAAAGGGTGAAAGAAAATACAGTATTTTGAGAACCACAGAGGTGAAGGCTGCAGTAAAGGTTAAGAACCACTGGTCTA